TGATGATGGCAACATCTGTGTAAGTTCACTTGATATGTGATGTATGGACTGTTATAATATATGTAAGAGCCCCCAATAAAATGATTTATTCATTTAACAAATAGATTTCAACAACAGACTAGAAAACAGAGAATAATTCTTCCTTCCTTCCACAAACTAAAGCAGGTGATGGAAGGAGCCCCTAGCTCCAGGTGTTGTAGAAAGAGAGGGCGAGCACAGCAAAAGCCAAGGAGTGGGAATGCAGAGCACCAGAGCATCTACTGTGCTGTCTCCCGGAAGCCTTAGCCAGACGCTTGACCTACCAGCCTCCAAGGACATCCAGGGTCACATCCAAAGTCCAGGTCATGCTCTTCACAGGCAAACAAACCCTGCCTTCTGCCAGCTCTGTGGCCTTGGATAAGCTCTTTAACTTCTCTGGGACCCAATTACCCTATACATCATTGTATCTGTGAGCTGTCAAGTCAATCCCCACTCGTAGCAGCCTCTACAGTACAAGGGAGAACTGTCCTGTGGCGTCTCCTAAATTATAATCTTTACAGAAGCATGGGGCCAGGTCCTTTCTCCTGCTGACCTGCTAGTTAGCAGCCAAGTCCTGAGCCCAGCATGACAGAAGTTACCCAACTGTGAGAAGTCACTCTAGATTTAGAGTCCAATTGCATTAGCATTAAAGGAGACCATGAACATCATGAGTTAAATTAAGCAAGATGCTGGGCACAGAGTAGAGTCCCGGTGGCACACTGGGTTAACCACAAGGTTGGCAGTTCAAACTCACCAGTTGCTCCATGGGACAGAAAGAAGGCTGTCTGCTTGCATAAAGGTTTATAGTCCCGGAAACCCAAGGGGGCAGTTCTACTCTGTCCTGTAAGGCTGTTGTGAGTTGGAACAGAGTCAAGGCAGTGGGTTAGTGGGCACAGTACCAGTCTCCAATATTAGTTGGTGTTGTTTCCATGATTACCCCTCCTCAAGCTGGCCAGTGCCCTCCCTGCTCTGTCGGGCCCACTGGACAGCTGGTTGGCCTCTCTGCAACAGGCCTTTCTTGCCCCTCTCCCACTTCTGCAGCCCTGACCTGCGGGCTCTGGCTCTGACGACTTACTGTGAGGATGTAAACTTAGATGAACTGGGCACAGAGGGAGAACTCTTTTCGTAAGTTCTGTGTGGACAGAATGAAAGGCTTAAAAAATTACTTTCAATATCAATTATGCCCAGTACTGTTAACAATATAAGGACCAAGCAAACCAATAAACCATCCAAGTATATGACATGAAACAATATCCACTCCCTCCAGGGCCATGCCTCCTATTCATCAGGAACTGCTGCCCTGAATTATGTGCTTATTCTACTCACGTTCTTCCTTTCTAGTCTTACAACCTATATGTCCTTAAACACCATATTATGTCATGTCCCATATTTTGGGGTGTGATAGAAATGGGCTAATAGCAAATGTACTAGGGCAAGGATTTCTTTGCTGTCCACTCACATGTGTTCCTGATATTCATCCATCTGGTTGCAGTAGCTGTGGTTTATTTTCGAGGCATAAAGTTATCCACGGTAGTAAGATGCCATGATTTACTTGTACATTCTTCTATCTTAGACCTTTTGGTTATTCATTGTCGCTTGTTATACCATGTGAGAGTCTTTGAGTGGTGTGTGCTTAGGAGGGAAATTCTAGACCCTAGAATAAGTGCATCTTCAACCATCACTTGCTGTTGTTAGCTGCCTCTGAGGTCTATGACAACCCATAGCAACCCTGGGTGACAGAGCGGAACTCCTACATAGGGTTTTCTAGATGGTAATCTTTGTGGGAAGACCCCGGTGGTGCAGTAGGTCACACTGTGCTGTGAACCAGACGTTCAAACCCACCAGCTGCCCAATGGGAGAAGGATGAGGCTGTCTGTTCCTGGAAAGATCACAGTCTCATCAACCCTGAGGAGCAGGGCCACTATAAATCAGATTTGACTTCAGTGAGTTTTGTTATTTATATCCTTAGAGGAGGGTTTGCCAGTTCTTTCCCTCGGAGAGCCTCTGGGTGGCTTCAGAAAGTCAGTTAATCAACTTGTCAATAGCATCTGAGGGCCTGCTATGACGATGTGCCAGGGGTTCCTGAAAGTTGGGTGGCCGAGCGCGTAACCATTGTGCCACATGGTACCACTACAAGCACTCTTCTACTTGCAACGTAGGTTGCTACCAACATGTGCTGTTTCCAGGCTGTGAAATGTTAGAGAAGGTCCGCCAAAGAGAATAAGATCCCCACAAGATGGATCAACACAGTGGCTGCAACAGGCTCACGCATGAAAACTGTGAGGATGGCGCGGGGCCAGGTGGGACCAGGCAGCATCATTCTGTTTTCCCTCAGAGTGCTGTGAATTGGAACAGACTCAAGAATACCTGACGACGACAACAACAACAACAACAACAGCAGCAGACTGTTGCCAGTCTTTTCAGCGTTTTAGGGGAGTCTGCTTTGGCTTTCACTGGTGTGCTCCTGCTCACTAATGGACAGCCAGTCACTCCGGTGTCTTCTCCTTCGCTTTTCTACATTTTCCTACTGGATCACTTGACTTTCTCTTTTTGATTGATAGAAACTCGACTTTCTGGAAAAGGACTGCTGTAGGAAATAGGCAACTCACTCTTAGATTTTCTAGTACTTCTCTCATTTAATGTCCCTTTTCCTGGATAAACATTCAAGCGTTTTAGAAAATACAATCTTGCAACATTCCAACCACATGCCCAAGACTTTTGAGCAGACAAAATGCCTTTACTAGTTGGTATGTGCTGTTTTTATTTGGGGAAATAGTATGGCCTTAAGCACATACTCAACTGCTCTGACATGTAGGAAGAGATGTCTCTCAGCTCCGGTCTCAGGAACATCAAAATGATGGTTCAGTTAAGTTGCTGCTCCAGGTGAAAAGCTGGTAAGCCTCACCATCTACTCCCTTCACCCCTTTATGATGCATGCACTTGCCAGAGCCCTCTTTTCATGTAGGTTCCCACATACCTTCCTAGGCCCTCAATTTCTTGCCCTCAGCCTTCTAGGACCTGCCTTCAAATCCAGCCAGGTTGTTACTAATGTCCCTGCCTGAACTGCTACTGTCTTGAACAGAATGGCAGGTGATCAACTTATCAATAGCACTTTAGGGCCCACTCTGTGCCAGACACTCTCTGAAGTTAACTTAACTACCTGGTCTTCCTGCCTTTAGACTCCCGTCCATTCTGCACACAGCAGCCAAAGCGGTCTTTGTACAAGTCTAAACCAGACCTGTCTCATCCCCACTAGAAAATATTTCTGTGGCTCCCCATTGCACCCTGGAGATAAAACCGGTGTGCACCCGACAAGGTCTGCCTGAGTCCCAGCTCCCTCTTTGGCCTCAGCTAAAGTTTTTGCCTTCTCCTTGTGCTCTATTCATATGCTTTCTGATTCTGGAAAGCACAGTTGATCCTAAGACCTTTACTCTTGCCTTTCTTGTTCTCTTTCCTAGGAGTGCTTCTCTCCGGCTGTGGTAGGCCAGGTCCTCTAGAGAAGCAAGACCATTACATATAGATAAATAGATACTGACCAGTATATATGTGTGTGTGTGTATATATGTATATATATATATGTATGTATGTATGTATACATATATATATATACATACATATACACTGGCCAGTATCTCTCTCTCTCTCTCTCTCTCTCTCTCTGTCTATCTATCTATCATCTATCTATGTCTATAGAATGAAAATGTCTTGAAGCATGGTGTAGCATGGGTAACAATCTTCACGCTGGGTACTTGTATATGGGTGTATCTGCCTGTGGGCCAACCTGCCTGGAGACAGATAGAGGAGCGGTGTCTCAGTTCCTAAGACCATCAGAAATATGTGTTTTCCAATGTTCTTAGTTGACTCCTGTGAAAGGGTCATTCGATCCCCCAAAGGGGTCACGAACCACAGGTTGAGAACCGCTGTTCTAGATAATTCTATCAGAAATGGCTGCATATCACCTAGTTTCATTCATTCATTAAAAACAGTGCAATGGGTGAGGGTGCTGGCTGGCTAACTACTGGTTTATTGTTAGTCTCTCCACACTAGATTCCCAGACCCAGAAGGGAGGACTCTTGTCTGTCTTACTGCCCAAAGCTTCTGAAACAGGATCTGGTCTAAGTAGGTGCTGGTTTAAACAGTTACTGAAGGAATTAGTGAAGGGAGCATTTTAGCCCCAGTGAGTTTTCTGTGTGGTGTAACACAGACAGACAGGTTGTCCCTAACTGTAACACACGAGGTTGTGATATGCTACTGGTGGTGTAGTGGTTATGCGTTGGGCTGCAATCTGCATGGTCAGCAGTTCGAAACCACCAGCAGCTCCATTGGAGAAAGACTGGACTTTCTACTCCTGTAACAGTTACAGGGGGCCACTGTGAGTCAGCATTGACTCGATGACTGAGAGCTTGTTTTCTTGGACTACGTGCTTACATCCTTGGGCGCGGTGTGGGAATGGTTGCTGTGGATGGTGCAGGACCCTGCCGTGTTTCATTGTATTGTGCACAGGATCTCTGTGCGCTGGAACTGACTCAGCCTGACAACCACCACCACCGGCACCTAACGACAACTCTGTGCTTTGTGATCACGATGGAGTGAGTCAAAGAACTCTGTCTTGGGACTGGGGAGGGCCAGCAGAGAGGAGAAGGGCTGGGGACATCGGGGCACCTTTGTCAGAAAAGAAGGTCTTTGAGCTGCACTTGCTAGGGAAAGTGGAAGATGTGCAGACAATGCAGGAGGAAATGGCTGGCCAGGCCATGGGAGCAAACTGAACAGCGTCACTCAGCGTGTGGAAGGACATTCTAGGCAAAGGTTACCAAGCACTTGAGCAAAAAGCAGCACAAGAAAGTTTGTACCATTTGAGTCCGTCAGTGGGGTGTTACTTATCCCTAAGGACAACAGGCTATGAACCAGGCTCAGTGCTGTCACCAGCACATGGTCACAGCACACAGTGTGTCAGCTTTTAACTCAAACTGTTTTCCTTCCAGGCTCCCCGAGCTCCACCTCTCCGCCTCTCCTTGCACCCCTTTGCCATGTTAACAGCACCCAAGGCAGCGGAGTCTGCTCGCACACAGAGTAAGCCTGTTTATCTCTATCTGCAGCAAGACATGTCAGTAAGGTTAGGTGCTTGGCTCCCAACTAAGGTCAGAGCTGTTATAGCAATGTGATTTCTTTGTCTGGTTGAATTACAAAAAAAAAGAATCAGCTTTTGTGATCTTATTCCCCTCCCCTGTCACACCCCATTACCAAGAGCTGGGCAGGCCTTCTCAGACCTTTGGTAAAGGGAGCAAAGCACTCCAGAAGGAAAGGATGGAAACGCTGGGTGGACACGGGTTTCTAGAACAATGGTTTTATATACAGATGTGGTCACTGTAGGTGTCATGTTCAGAAGAGGAGCAACAAATAAAAATGGCACCCACAGCTATGCCAGGGCTAAAAATGCCATGGGATGGAAATCATCGAGACGTGTCCCTTTGAACACACAGCCGAAGACCAAAGTAAGTGTAAAACCCAGATGGAACCAAAATGGATGTATAATGTGGTGAGGGGGCCCTGGTGGCATAGTGGGTTACACTTTGGACTAACTGCTGGTTGAGTGGTTCAAATCCACCACCCGCTGCTCTGGGGGGAAAGATGAGGCTTGCTGCTCATAAAGATTTATAACCTCAGGAACCCACAGGCACAGTTCTACTTAGCCCTATAGGGTCGCCCTGAGCTGGAATCGACTCACTGGCAGTGAGTGTGGTTTTGGGTTCTCGATGGTGCTGTTGAGTGAGCCTTAGGCTGCTCACTGCAAGTTGGAGAGTTCAAATGAGCCAGTCACACCTAGCGAGAAGGGTGACGTAGTCTGCTCCCGCAAAGATCTGCAGCCTTGGGAACTTTTTATATGGGATTATTATGAATCAGAATGGACTCAGTGGCCGTTGAGTGAGTTTATGAGTTGGAAATGAATTGATGGCAGTGGTCAGGTTGGTTTTTATAGTATATAGTGTTTAAGAGCCCTTATGTTGTAGTGGGTTAAGCATAAGGTTACTCGAGGCTGGTTCAAACTCACCAGGTATTTTAAGGGAGAAAGACGAGGCTGTCTGCTCCTGTATAGATTTACAATCTTGGGAATGACGTCAGCTTGAAGGCAGAAGGTTATAGGAAGGTTAAAGGATTTATTCTTCGGATTCACATGCTCTGGGTTCAGAACTAGAGCTCACCACTTACCAGCTGTGTGGCTTCAGTCACTTTAATTAATTTCTCTGTGCCTTAATTTCTTCCTCTGCAAATGGGGAAAATGATGGTGCCTACCTCTTAATTTGGTTGGGATTATTCATGGGACGTAGCTGGAACAATGCTGGGCCCAGAGTAAAAGCTTAAGGAAATATTAACCATCATTAACTTTTATGTATCTGAGATTTCGTCACAAGTTAATTAACTGTCATTTTGTCGATTCAAAGAAATGTGCGGAGTAGAACATTTAGATGCATGCTATTGCTCCAAATGTTCTTATCCGCAATGCTGCTCTCACTAGTGAGAATCTTCTCTTAGTGAGAATCCTGCTCCATCCTTGCCCCTCGGGTTCCCGGTATGTTCATGTTGCAGAATTCAGAGAATAGTCAGAGAGGAGGCAAAGGTTGCTGGGGTTCTGGCTGCAGTGCCCGTTGTCATGTGAAAAGTAAGCGGCATCTTTTAGAAGGAGAGGAGACAAGGTCAGAAACGGTGCAGACTCGGTGGCCGGGCTCTCGGAGAGGTTGCTGCAGCAGCTGGAGGGGTGGAGAGAGCGAGGGCTGGGGAAATTTGGGAGAGTGACCCTGTGAGCGATGAATTGGGCTCACTTCAAGAAACAAGCAAAAGCTAACATTCCCTTTTTATTTCATTCGGTTGCTATGTTGTGTTTTTGAAATGGACATAACAAAAATGAACCATTTTAAAGTGTGGCGTTTGTGGATCCAGAATACTTTGCAACCTCTGTCTTGTTTGAATACATTTGCATCCTACAAAAAGGAAGCTTTCTACTTGCTGAATTTAAGAGCATTGTATAAGAAATTCAAAATAATTCAAACAACCGCTGAAGGGCAAAGAAGCATTCAGCTTTGGGTAGGGTTAGTCATAAAAAGTTGAACTTCTGCCAGAGGCTTAAGTGGAGAGCAAATGTTTTCAGAATGATGAGGGCAATGAATGTACAAATGTGCTTTACACAATTGATGTATGTATTATTGTGATAAGAGTTGCATGTGCTCCTAATAAAATGATTTAAATTAAAAAATAAAAATAAAAGAAAAGATGTTAAAAAAAATAAGATGTCTCAGAAATGTCAAAAAAAGTTGAACTTATGACTTAATTTTCTATTTGGAAATTATTTCAAGCTTATGGAAATTTATAAGAATAATACAAAGAAGTGTTATATAGCCTTTATCAGATTTGCCAGTTGTTCATGTTTTGCTCCATTAACTTTATCATTCTCTGTTTCTTTGTCGCATCTCTCTCTTTCTCTGTGGATATAGCTAATTTCTTTCTGAGCCTTCTCAAGTTGTGTACATCTTTGTACCTGTATACCTCAGTGTGTAGTTATTAGTAAAACAATTCCATGGGCATTCATTTTACCTGGATTTATTTTAATACATCTTGCTCAGCAAGTTTGCATCTCATATTTGACCTCTTTGTGACCTATGGGACATATATGGCCCACCAGTCTGTTCGGCCTGCCAGGTTTCTTGAGGTGCTATACAGCTGTGAGACTCTGAAGTGTGACCTCACCCCTTCAACCCTGCCACCAAAGCTCACATATGTCTCCCACATAACTGTATCAAAACCCAAATCATCTCACCATTTCTTTTTCCTTGGCTTTAGCTGCCTTCCATTACTGAAAACCCATGGTATCGACAAACAGTTCAAAGCAGAAAATACTGTAGCTCAATCAGAAAGGGGTTAACTCCCCACAGACTGAAAGCGTTCAGATCAGTGTTCCTTGTTCAATCGATGTGCTCGAGACTGAAATCTTTTTTTTTCGTTCGGCAGGTCACTGAGACGGGAGCTTCCTAATAAGATCTCTGGAAGAGTGGGGGGAATCCTCACTTTAAATCCACAGCGTCTCCACTACCTTTTGCTTTTTACTGTTCGCCTAAGGATCCAGAAGGCAGTGGGGTGTGACTTGGGCTGCTGAGGTTTCTTTTAGAAGCTTGTCCATCACCGCGTGCATCTTCTGCTACCTTTTCGTGTCTGGAAGGCTGCCGAGCACAGCAGAGAGTAAAGTGCATTCTCCGTCTGGCAGAGCCCCTGGCTTGGCGGCGCATTTTACAAAGGGTTAGTCTTGACGCTCGCAGGTGCTGGAGTGAAGGCGGCAGCTTTCCAGTTTCCTCCCCAGATAAAACGAACCTGTTACTTACTGCCTTTACTATGCTCTCACATAGAAACTTTTATTAAAAATCACTGCAATAAAGCACTAAAGGAAAACAGGTGTGGGCTCTCTTTCAGTAGACTAAAATGACTAGCGAGGGGGAAAAAAGTATTGGCCTTACAGCAGCGGTTCTCAACCTGTGGGTTGTGACCCTTTTGGGGGGTCGAACGACCCTTTCACAGGGGTCGCCCAAGACCATCAGAAAACACATATTTCCGATGGTCTTAGGAACCAAGACCACTCCTCTACCCATCTCCAGGCGGGTCCGCCCACATGCAGATATGCCCACCTACGAGTACCCAGTGTGAAGACTGTTACCCATGGTACACCGTGCTTCAAGACAAAATTTCATTTATTTGTCATTAGAAATAAATATTTCACAATATAGAATTACATATTGTTTTGTGATGAATCACTGTGCTTTCATTATGTTTAATTTGCAACTATGAAAATACATCCTGCATATCAGATGTTTACATGACGATTCATAACAGTAGCAAATGATGAAGTAGCAATGAAAATAATTTTATGGTTGGGGGGGGTCACCCCAATATGAGGAGCTGTATTAAAGGGTCGCGGCCCGAGGAAGGTTGACCACTGTCTTACAGTGTCTTTCCAAAACGAAGGCCACTCTGTGCCCATAGATGTGAGCGGTGGCACTTTGATCCGGGGAATGTGAGTCCACACGGTGCCTTTCTTAAGGTTTCGATGGGCTGCTTCTGCAGGGCAGTTTCAGTAGTAACACCAGGCCTGGCTTGTTGACGTCTGCTTAAAGTGGCTGCATTTCCACTGGGAGGCCCATGCAGCCTTGTCTGCGTTGGGCTCGATTGTGACTAGCTGAGACTACCTGGAGCATCAGGAGCGAGGTGGGAGAGTGCGTCTGAAATTAACCTGGGGTCAGCCCTTGGGCACCCCGCTGGCTGTCTAGCTGGGTAGGACTCTGCCCAGTTTTCACAGCTCCCCAGCTTGGCTCGAGATGAGAAGACCTTCTTCCTTGGTGGCTGTTGCCCCCCGTCCTTTGATAGCTGCTTTGCAGACTGGCTGAAGATCTCCATGAAGGGTGCTTGCCAACGTATTGCTTAACTCTGAGGCAGGATTTGGTTTTTATCTCTCTATGTACACGTGGCATGTAGGTGAGCTGGGGTTACCACTGCCTAAGCGGGGGATGGGGGTCGGAGGGGGAGGTGGGGGAGCCTCTGAGTCAACGTCGGCCCTGGGTGGTGCAGATGGGTACTGATCTCTGCTGCTAACAGAAAGGCTGGAGGTTCAAGTCCATCCGGAGGCACTTCAGAAGAAAATTCTGGTGACCTACTGCCCCAGACCAGCCTCTGTCACCCTAGGGAGCACCGCCCTCTTCAACACACACACAGGGCGGCCATGAGGTGGAATGGGTCGATGGCGGCATGGGAGACAGCGCTTCCACAAGCACCTGGCATCTCTGAACAGGATTGCTTCTGAGAGAACACACAAGCCAGTCATGACGCTGCTGATGAAAACCCCGGCCGTCCTACACGACCGCCCTCCACCCTGTCTGTGAGCGCTCCCAGCCTTGCAGTGTCCTGCATTGTAGCTGAAACACTTTTTTTCTAAAAAAGTGTTAAAAGAGAAGTGGTTTGATTTCAAGACAAAAATAAACCTCTTTCTAAATTTGCTGCTTTTTACTATTTAAAATGTAAACCTTTCCACTTAAATGTTGGTGGTTTTTTTCCCTTCATGAAAGCAGCACATATTCACAATAGAAAATGAAGAGTCTAAGAAGCACACACACACACACACACACACACACACACACAGGAATCCACATGTAAAGTGAGACCCTCTTCTCTTGTCACTCGCTGATCACCACCATTAACATTTTGGTGTACACACTGTCCTAAATATTTGTTTCTTTATACAAATATACACAGAATACTCTTTTGAAAAAAGCCATACCATGCTGATGAAGTCATTCGGGAAACATTCGTGTCTTTCTCATGGAAAAGAGTTTTGTTTGAGATTCTCTGTGGCCCCTTAGAACAAGTCCTTCTGGCATTCATAGGACTCTCATGGGTCCCCTCTGCCCCCCACCCCCTTGCCCCAGAGCCATATACACCTCCACTCATCTCAGCAGTTTTCATGGGAAAACGTGACAAAATGCTGGGCAAAATGCTGTATTCCCAGAGAGCTGTGTAGGGTGAGAAGTGCGCCCTTTGTGCCCAAGATCATAATGGCTCTGCTGACTTCAATTCCTTTCACTGGAAAAGGCCAGAGAGAATGACAGCCCCTGCCCCATGCTCCCTAAATGAAAAAGCAAAAGAGAAAACATAGCAATCCCGAGATGCACTACTCCCAGGCCCCTTTTGTCTTGGTCTTGCCAACACAGCAGTCATCCTGTAATATATACCAGCTGCCACTGCTGTCCCCATCCACTGAACGCTGATCGGTCTCTGTCAACAAGCATGGGGAAGGTGAGTAACGGGGGGCCGTACCATGTCCATTGAGTCTCCCGTGTGTGGGGATGTACCTTCTGGCTGACTGTCTGCTGTCACCCTGGTTTCCACTGCAGATCACCTTCTACGAGGACCGGGGCTTCCAGGGCCGCTCCCACGAGTGCAGCAGCGACTGTCCCAACCTGCAGACCTACTTCAGCCGCTGCAACTCCATCCGCGTGGACAGCGGCTGCTGGATGCTCTATGAGCGCCCCAACTACCAGGGGCAGCAGTACTTCCTGCACCGGGGCGAGTACCCCGACTACCAGCAGTGGATGGGCCTCAGCGACACGGTCCGCTCCTGCCGCCTCATCCCCTACGTGAGCGTGGTTTTGTCTTTGGTCCCTTTGGAAAGGAAAGCCTTGTTTTTACACGTTTAATTGTGTATTGGGTGCAAGTTTACAGAGCAGAGTCTGAGTTTTACAGTCCGAGAATCACACAGATTTTGTTTCGACTTGCTCGTTGCAATCTCCTGGCTGTAGGAAGTAGCTTACTTCCCCCTTGAGTTTCCTGCTTGAATTTCTCCTTCTTTCCTAACCCTTCTGAGCTTTGTCCTTGGGGGAAATGCTGCCCTTTGGATCTCACATGGTGGGTTCTTCTAAGATGGGTATACCGCACTAGAGCTCTTGTTCCCCATGTGGTCCTATCGTTTGTTTGGCTGAAAATTGAGTCCGGAGGTGGCTTCAGGTCCAGAACTAAAAGGATTAAAAGCTATAGTCTTGGGGGCGCCTCCGGTTTCTCTCCAACCAGTCAGCCTGGCCTCTTTCATGATGTTCAGTTTTGTTCCAGTTTTCTCCCCCTCTATCGAGGACCTGCTAATGTGACCCCTTCCCAAGCAGTTGGTTGTGGGAGTCGGGCACTGTCTAGTTCTTCTGGTCTCAGGGTGGTGGAGACGGATGTTTTTCCATGGTCCACGTAGTCCACTGGGCTAGTTACTGCCATGTCTTCAGTTTGGGAAATGAAAGCCATTAACAATATCATTCTCAAACCAAACAGCTCCAATGATGGAACAGCAGAAAGTGGAAGTGATGTTAACGCATGCAACCACATGTATGAAGTGCCTTGGGTGTGACTCATTTTTCATGTACTCTGTAGTGTTTTCTTTAACGAGGAGTTCCCTAACTTTATAGTTTTAAAGTAATTTTAAAAAACAAGAGACTAAGAAACAGCAGAACATGAAAGGACTGAAATTATGATCTCTTCACGATGTCATTGCAACCTATGGTCGTGATTACTACACAACGTGGTGATGGTAATTAATGTCACTTGGGGTGTAGTGGTTCCTCGTTGGGCTTAGATCCTCATAGTCAGCATTTTGAAACCACTGGCAGCTAAGAGGGAGAAAGACCGGGCGGTAAACAGTTACAGTCTCAGAAACCCACAGGGGGTCACTAGGAGTCAGCATTGACTTGATGGGAGTAATTTGGTTTGGGTTTGGTACTAGTAAAAAGTTAAAACAGCAAATGCTTTTGTTCTGTATGCATTTTGCCACAAGTGGTGGAGGGGGAGATGCACTTTCCTCAGTGGTCAGGACAGATCACTTCAAGCTAGAAATTAAAGATATTAAAATTTAATATAATCGGAAACGTTAATTGATAAAAACATGTTTGCTTATTTTCCTCTTTTATTGTTCTTCCTGAAGACTATGGGTCCCTATGTATGGTTTCTAAGAGCCTGGGTGACATAGTGAGTTCTATATGGGGCTGCTAACTGAGAGGTCAGCAGTTCAAAATCACCAGTCACCCCATGGGAGAAAAACGAGACTCTCTACTCCTATAGAGATTGATAGTCTTGGAAGCCTACTGGGGCAGCTCTCCCCTGTCCTATAGGGTCTCTGTCGGTCTGGATGGACTCAATGGCAGTGAGTGAGTATGGGTTCTAGTTCTAATTTAGTAGTCAATACCTTTTAGCTCACTTTGAGGTATAAACTGGAGGGAAGACTATCTTATTATCATGAGCTGATAGAGCAGAAATATTGTAAGTGGGCGTCTTTCCCTAACAGAGCTAGGGAGTCTGTTCGGGAGTCTAGAAGTCTAAATCAGGACACTGGCACTGGGGGAAGTGTTTTTCTGTCTGTGGGTGAAGGTCCTTGTTACTTTTCTACTGCTCCTCCATTGCAGGGGGAGCTCCATGTGGCCTTGGTATCTTCCTCTCCCTGCTTGCCTGGTGCCATACTCAGTATGTTCTCTTTATCTCAAAAGAGATTAATTTAAGATAGACCCAACACTAACCCTGTCTCATTAACATAGCTCAAACCTAGCCACCAGTAGGATTATAACCACAGAACCCAAACCCCCCAAAGCAACCCAACCCCATACCTACCAAGGAGATTCCAGCGCCTAACGACCTGATAGGTCAGAATAAACTGCCTCATGTGGTTTCCAAGGCTGTGATCTTTACAGAAAAACAAACCCCCAATTTTACCACTGCCAGCAAGTCTATTCCGACTGCCAGGGACTCTGTACAGAGTATCTGAGGCTATAAGTCTTTATGGGAGCAAATTGCTTGATGGGGTTTGAACCTCTAGTCTTGTGATTGATTAGCGGTTTGACACCCACCCAACATTGCCACCAGGGCTCCATTGCAGAGATCACTATCCTTTGTGAGGAGTAGTTCGTTGGTCGGAACCACCCATCTTTTGGGTAGTTGCCACATAAATGAACCTGTGTGCCACCAAATTTACTATATACATTTCTGGGGGACACAGTTTGGTCAATAACAAAGGCCATAACCCCAAAGTGAACTTTGAAGTTTAGTGTTTTCTAGGGAGTGATTGGTTCTTAGAAGAGTAGAGTATGGGAGGCATATGTCATCAAAATAGTTTGATGGCAATGATTCTTGCTGTGAAACGAAACTCAATGGATTGAAGGTAGGAGGTCAGAAAGGGAGTCCAAGAATTGGGTTGACATTGTACTGACATTGAGGTGATGAAAACAGAGATAAAGAAATAAGATCATATAAACCATCATATTATTATTGATAAGAGCTATAGCTCATGCAGGGAGCCCTGAGGACGTGGTGGGTTACTTGTTGGGCTGCTCAGTGTAAAGTCAGCAGTTCAAAGCCACCAGTTATTTGGTAACAATTTACAGTCTCAGAAATCCACAGGGAGAGTTCTCCTCTGTCCTACAGGGTCACTATGGGTGTGAATCAACTAGATGGCATTAATTCTGTGCTCATTTTGTTCATGTCTCATGTGGTTACTATGGGCTATCAAGTTGGTTCCAACTCATATCAAACCTATGTACAACAGAGCCAAACATGGCCTGGCCTTACCCCATCTGCACAATTATTGCTGTTTTATTTTATTTTATTTTATTTTATTTGCACAAATGGTAATTTATTAATATGACAATCTGATTTCTAAATCTTTACACATTTCAAGGAAAACACTCAGGCATCAACAACTATTTTAATATGCAAAATTCAAATTTACAACCAGAAAAATAAACACAGGAATTTCATTTTGGACCAGGTGGTTCTTGCTACACTACCTTGAACTTCTTATTCAAAGTCTAAAATGTAGGTGACACCCTAAACATGTAGCAGACGCCTTCCCGAACACTGGTTTCTGTAACCTAGCGCGAGCGGTGGGAGTGTTTCCCCTGGATTCACAGAGCCCTCTTTGGAAGACAGCAACAATAGTTGGTCATGTGGTTGCCTTTCTGGCCTTCTGCAGCTCTTCAGTGGGTTTCCATGGTTGGTTGATTGCTATTAGCTTTTGAGGTACAGTACGATCCACAGTCTCCCAAGGTTCTGGGTTATTTTTTCTATCAGTGATCACATCGGATTTTCAAAGGGAATGGACAGCAAAAGACGAGGCTCCGCTCGCTGCGGTGGTCATACTCAGGGCCAAAGGAGTAAGTTCCTTCTTTTCCATCAGGAGTCGAAAATAGCTCATGACGACTTCAGGGTGATGAACCCCGAGACCAATGATTGCTGTTTTGGCCCTCGTGGAAGCCGCTACGTGTCCGTCTATTTTGCACAGATGCCTCTGTTTTTGGTGACACTCTGCCAGGCTTGATGTCTTCCTCCAGGGACCGATCCCTCTGGATTAGCTAGAACTGGCCATCTCGTTTCTGAGGCGCATTCTGGCTGTACTTGCGACCCAGATCTGTTGTTCTTGTGGCAGTGCATGGAATGTCCAGTGCTGTTTGATAACAGCCTACTTCAAGGCATCAGCTCTTCCTCAGCTTCCTATTCACCGTCCAGCTTTCACAGGCATGCGAGGCTGTCGAAAATGCCGTGGACGAAGTCAGGGGCAGCTCAGTCCTCCAGGGGGTCAATAATAGGGAAGAGAAAAGCTCTTTGGATCTCTGCAACATGGTTGCTGTGGAAGCAAACCTGGACTTAACAGTGAAGCTCTTGGCAGGAAGGTGGAGGGGTTGGAACATTCATCTGTATTTTAATTCAATCGCGTCTCTCCTGTCTGTCCCTTTAGCACTCCGGCACGTACAGAATGAAGATATATGAGAGAGATGACTTCAGAGGACAGATGTCAGAGATCACAGATGACTGTCTCTCTCTCCAGGACCGCTTCCACCTCAATGAGATCCACTCCCTCCACGTGCTGGAGGGCTGCTGGGTCCTCTACGAGCTGCCCAGCTACCATGGGCGGCAGTACCTGCTGCGGCCGGGGGAGTACAGGCGGTACCACGACTGGGGGGCCGTGAGTGCTAAAGTTGGCTCCTTCAGACGAGTTATGGATATTTACTGAAATAGCTACAGTCTCCTTTTTTTTTCTCCTTTGGAATCAAATAAAATAGCTAGCTTGAATTTCTGGCACAAATAGAATCCTGTCTTTCAATCTATTAAGCCTTCAAAAATAATAACAATATTACATGTTTTCAAGATGAAAAACAGCCTCTTGTAAAGAATATTATTTCCAGTATTCCCTTAATGACTGAACTGTGTAGCTTGGAAAAGTTTGATTCAATTGGGCTCCCTTCATTGTGGTTCCTCCTTTATAGGAGATATTTAAGACTACAAGCATGAATTAGGGCTTACTGAATGTGCTCGTCTGGGTTGACTAGTGAAACAAAGTCAAGGACACTCATACGTGTATAAGAAAGAGCTTTAAATAAAAGAGCAATTGTATATTGAGAAATATCCTAGCCCAGTCCAGATGAAGCCCATAAGACCAATATTATCCCATATGTCCAATACCAGTCCATAAATTCCTCTTTAGACTCACACAGCCATGCAATAATGCTGAATGCAGGAAGATCACAGGCCAGTGGGTGGAAGGTCTTGTAGATCCAGTGGTGGTGGAAGGATCTCAGCACTGGGCTGGGTCTCCATGTGGCTCCTCCAGCTCCAGGGCTCTGGCTCCATCAGTGTAGCTCCATGTGGCTTGTCAACAGGAATGTCTCGCAGGAAGTGTATGTGTGTCCTGCCTCCAGTAAGTTGTTTATCTCCATGCGCCTCCAAATGAGGTCATCAAGCTGTGACCTGATTGACAGGCTAAACTCCACCCCTTCATTCAATAGTCTCAAGCTGACACCAGATTATGTAACTACCACACTGAAACACCTCAAATTGCCCCTCCAGTTTATGATCATCCCACATGCAAATATAATCCAAGATTTAGTTGATGAGAAATGTTCTCCACATTTAGACTTACCAAATAGGCTAACAAACAAATATGTCTGCTATGTTATTACTGACTTTGCTCCATATTTTTCTAAAAGTCCCCACCCATTTCCTTTGAGATCTATTTCCAGTATCCCATTCCTCCATGTCCAAATATAATTCACTCTCTTTTCTGTGTGTGCTTTAAAGAAAACCTTCAGGATATTCACCAAAATTATATGCATATTGGGGAAACTAGGCCTGGTATCTTTTTAATAGGAGGGATGGTTGACATAGAGGATATAATAAGGGGAAAACAGAGAACTGGTGTTTCCCAGAGAAATTTGTTTGATTATACATTTGTTTTATTTTTCTGAAAAGTGAACTAGCCAACAAAATATAGTAAGTTAAAAACAGGTGATTAAAGACATCCGGTGAAAAGAAAATATAAAGTTTGAGAGAAAGCATAGTCCTACCTATGCCTTGGATTCAGACTTGTAGCCCCAGAACTAAGAGGAAATAAATTTGTTTCTTTAAAGTCAGCTACTTTGTGGCATTTTGTTATGGCAACACTAGGAATCTAAGACACATACACACAATCTGTCTCTGTGTGTGTGTGTGTGTGTGTGT